TGTGGAGTAAAGACGTTTTACTTTTACCTGATTTTGAGGTTAAAAAATATTTAACCCCTCGCCAATCCGATGGTTGCCAGTGAACTTTGTCATACCTTCCAGAAAATCAGTCAGGGTGGTAATGGCTTCTTCTATAGTGTGAGTCAGGTCACTGCGATTGCTCTATCCTCGTGAAACTTGATGGTGGACCAATGTGCCCCATGGACCAATGTGCCCCACTCTCCCCTAAGACTCCTACCGGGATATATATAAAAGACAATCTACCTCGCTCCGTTCTTTAAATTCCAAGAAGAAGGGGTGTCCATCACTGGGCAGATGCATCTCTTAAGGTGTCCATCATTGGGCATCTTCCCTTAATGCCCTTGCAGGAAAGGGGTACCTTTAACCACACAGTCTGAGGCACTGTGGCTGTCACTTTGCTATACTATTACCATGATTTTTAACAGGAAGTCATCGGGTACCGATTGCTTAAATTTAATTGCGAGTTGTCATTTTGGACTTTTCAATAATCTTGCTGAATAATTTCTTTATTTACGATTAATCTTAGTGTTTTCACAGGCTATTAGTAAACCTGAATGTACAACTAAACAATTTCATTACAAAAATATTGTAAACCTGAATGCAATTAGTTGTTCCTGTCTAATTAGGGACCTTGCAGTTTTCGACGACTATGATTAGTTTTAGAGATTTAACGATCAGTGTGTAGGGAATTAATGTTATGTTAATGTTATGTCACTTTCCCTAACAGTGTATCTCCTAAACCATTAGACCCAAAAAAGATGTCTTTGTTGTGAAAGAGTTTTAGCTTGAACTGTAACAGGTGCAAAAAAATTTTTGGTGGCAAGTCTTTCAGTGAAACCCGATTTCAGTGTACCCTCCTCATTATATTGCGAGACTACACTAAAATTTCAGATTGTTAATTTTATTTGTTTTCAAATTATCGTGTGCACAGACGAACTAACAGAAGGAAAGTTTTTCGGTCAGTGGCGTAATGGGCTTTACTTACGCTCAGCGCACTTCCAAGAATTTGTGCATCTTTGGTGGCAGGTCTCTTTTCCCGTGCCCTTCTCATGAGTGGAAACGCTCTTACGACCGTGGCGTACACGGACTCGCATTTGGAGGCTGCGCGAGAGCTCGCGGCGATGCTTGGTGCCAAAGACAACGCAACATCAACTGTGGAAGACACACTTCGGAAGGCAACAGGCGAGCAGATTAACGCAGCTCACCTGGCAATGCTCATGAACGAGGTATGTACCACGGTAGGGTGTCCACCCCATGGGAACATGAACATTTAATCAACGCAGATGAAACATTGTCGGACATAATTGAATGGAGGTGGATCATCAACTTAACCATCGACGGCTAGAAGGTGCTAAATTCCACCCCGAAACAACGTCTCGGATCGACATTACTTATTAATACTAATTACTATAACAACAGCTCACAGAGTATAAAAATGCAATAATCACAGCACAAAGGGCACGCAAGAAGGCATATTAAATGAACTGGAACAAAACAATGCCCAGACGACAAAGCAGCTCCCATTTAGTTTTAGGGGAATTGGGGATTATCCTACGCGAATCCCTCACACGTGCTTCGATACCTGCCAGCGAAAAGGCTTGACTTGACCGCTGCGAAAACGGTTTGGATGGCGGAAGGCTGCTAAAAGAAACAAAAAAAAAAAAAAAAAAAAAAAAGACACACACAGGTGCAGTTTGGCCGCGCGACACACATGCTAGTTTGAAGCGTTAGCAAATATCGGGATCTCGATAGATACCATTTAACAGCACTTTACCGAAAACGGCAAATGATGCAAAAATGCTTCACCTATTGTTTGCCGTTTTCAGAAAATGTATATCTGAAACCACCAATTTTTCCTGGCGTTTCAAACGTGATGTTACGATGTTTAAAAAAATAATAATTGACATATGCTTAAGTGGAATTTATTAGCAAAATTATTACTCGATCTGAGTCTGTGCCAAATTTGAGACCTGTCCGATGACCCGTGTTAAAAAATGAGCTGATCCTAGGCTGCGGTTAACTGATATTTGACTGATGTACAGCTGCGTGGAGCTGACGTTAACTGAAACTAAACTACTTTAAGCTGTTCCGAAGCTGATCAAACTGACAAACAACTGACTTTACCAAACTCGAAGCCAACCTAGGACTGACGTCTTTACGCTCACGTGTAGAAATACTGACAAAACTGATAGTAACTGAACTAGTAAGTGAAATAAGACCGAACGTCAGTTGCGTCGTGCTGACCATCTCCTGAGGTAACTGATAGTAACTGATCGGGTAACTGATATAGTACCGAGCGGACCTGACGCTGGCTGAATTGAGAAACTCAGCGTGAATCAGCAGCGGTACAGCTTTCCGCAGTACATTTTTGTTACTGAGTAGAACTGACTAACACCTGATTCGGGGAGCTGATAGCGGTTCAGTCCACGATCAGGTAACGGCAGTGATCTTCTGTACTGAATCGAACTGCTGTTTGCTGAGTCGTGGCTACTGAGGTCCACTCAGCTGACGTCTAGCCACAGGCAGTCAGTGCAAAAGCTGAACTGCGACTGACGCTAACTGAATGGAGAAACTGAGCGTGACTCAGTAACTGTACAGCTTCCCGCAGTAGATTTAGGGTACTGAGTCAAACTAAGTAATACTGGTCTTTGGCTGATTCAGTTCTATCTCAGGTTCATTAAGTTCACGGTAAAAACGGCAGCTTGGTTTTCAAGCTGAGAATACCAGTTTTCAAGCAGATCGGGTAAAAAACAAGCAACCCTCATTTGGAGGCTTGAAAACCAGTACGTTTTCCAAGCAGCTCTGCTTGAGATCCTCCAATGCGGCTTGTAATTCAAGACGGCCGGTCCGCCTGCTTGTATTTCGAGACGGCGGCTTGAAAAACAAGCAGAGCTGCTTGCATCTGATTCCCTCTGCTTGGAATTCAAGCTTCATTGTCATTGTCGTTGTTGTTGTCATTTTCACTTTCATAAGTTGATTCCAGTTCTTCATCGTTGCTGTCAGAAGAATAATTTAATGGCCTTTGCCCTAGAGCTCGTTAGGCATTAAAGCGATTCTCCCTCTCTAAATTTCTGTCAGCATCTCTGTTGAAAGCTCTTCTATGCACTCTTGGATTTATCTTAGCAAACACAAAGCAAGAGCATGCAAAGCAGCAATTAGAAAAAGGAGGGAAGATATTGAGAAATATGAAAGACGATAAAAAAGTAAAACGCACATAAAAGTAAACAAACATGCAAGTGCAGCAGTAATGAAATTGTTCCACTAGAAAAAATTTCACTTAACTACGGGATTTTTAGCACCAGATAAGGAAACGATAGTCAACCCAAATCTCCTTTTCCTTCAACAATAATTACTATTTATTAGATCGACGCCGACGAATTAGAATACTTACTGGTCTATCACCCATGGTAAAAACATTTATTGTAACACCTGGGAATACCGACAGGTCTAAACTTGATCTGTGACCACTGTCACAGTCAAACTGGTCAACCTCGAGTCTTGTGTTGTTGCGAGCGCGAGCTGCCGGCCAGCAGAGTACGTGTTGTTCGGGTCGCGCTCGGCTCAACTCGGCTCCAGCTCTTCAGCTAGCTGGACGACTGGTGTCGCCACCTTCTCGTTTTGAACCAACACGACGACACTTTGTGCGATACTTGGACGTACTCGGGTGACACATGCAGCATATCGACAGGAGAACGATGTGGTGATATCGTTTCGATATCGAATCGATATCGCGTTCCTCACGGTGTTGGGTAGCTTTTCGATAGCAGAAGAGCGGGCTAAAAATGCGGATTGAAAAAGTAAGTACAAAAAACTTCAATGATTAATCATTTGTTTTTAGCCTCATCCAAACATGATGTTTAAGTTCGCCATGACTTCTGAATCACCATCGGCCTCCCAAGCTGATCTTCCGGGTTCCATACTGTTGACTACGGATCCCGAAACCCTGCTGAGAGCGCCGGAAGTGAAAACTGTCGTCCCAATTCTAACCGGGACAACAGCTCAAGAAAGTGCCAGCCTGTACGCAGTTGGTGCGTAAAATTTTCCTAGATTTTCTGGACTTTGGGGTTAGCGCTCTTTTTTATGGCAGGGGCTGCAACAATGAGCCACCAAGTACTGCTTGCGTATTTACAAATGCTCGTAGGCCCAGCCAGGTATGAGAAATTCAGCGCTCGGCGGCGCGCTTCCCCACTCTTCGCGCTACTGCGGCAGTGACGAGTAAGGACGTTTTCCGTTGGTAGGCATCTCCTTGAGCCAAGTTAAGAAATTTGTTTTATGCATTATTTCATACTTTTCAGAAGTAAAGCAACAAATAATATAATCAGCACGTTGGTGAACTGAAACATTGGGGGCGTTATTTGTGTTTTTCAAAATAATAATAATAGTGATGAAATATTTTTCCCGATTCATGTACGGTATCAAAGTTCACCCTCTGTTTACTAGCCAAATTTGTGTTTTTCCGTGCATTTATGTAGCAACATTTTTTCTTTGTGGGCTAAAATTCAACTGTTGGAAGTATATTCTAAGAATTCGAGGATGTGAAGGTTCTTTAGGGGAAACAGTCGGCCAGCTTTAGTGATAACAAGGTAGATGTACGCCAGATCACGTCTCGCGTAACAGGCTTCGCGATACCTCACGAAACACTGTTACGCTGCGACGCGCCTGGCATACATCTACCTTGGCCTGCAGCGCTGACACCCGAGTCGGGTAATGGAAAAATGTACACAAAGGTACGGGCCTACGGCCCGTTGACGACCTATCACCTCGACTAAGCATGCATGCTTGCACATTTTTTCGCTTATTTTCGTCAAAAATACCCTTTAGCGCCTCAACGGTTTGAGCTAGAGCAAAACGGACGAAATTTTCGCCCGTAGGGCTCTACTTTGATGGGTTACCCCTTAGAAAACCATAAAAAAAATATTTTTAAAAAACGTCATTTTTGGGACCTGTTGTTTTTGATTTTTTAAAAATCCAGTTTTTGAGCTAGAATGCTCATCTTCGAACTCGACCTGTCTTTTTGTGGTACAAAACGACCCTGAGAATCCCAGGTCGCTAGCTCAACTCGTTTTCGAGTTATCGTGCGGACAGACAGACAGACGTGCAGACAGACAGACAGACAAAGTTTTTTCCGACCAGACGGAGTAATAGGCTTCGCTAATCGCTCAGCCAATCAGACACTACTAGCTATATGTACGCCAGACCACGTCTCGCGTAACAGGCTTCGCGATATATCACGAAACACTGTTACGCTGCGACGCGCCTGGCGCACATATAGCTAGGCCTGCGGCGCTGACACCCCAGACGAGTTACATTTTACGATTTAATAGACCATTTTGTCGTTTTCACCTTATTTTCGCCAAGAAATGCTCCCTAGCACCCAAACGGTGCGAGATAGAGCAAAACGGACAAAATTTTCGCCCAAAGGGTTCTACTTTCACGAGTTACCCCTTAGAAGCTCATAAAAATAAATTTTTAAAAAATAAATATTTTGCAACCTGTGGTTTTTGATTTTTTAAAAAGCCAATTTTTGAGCTACAATGCTCATCTTCGAACTCGATCTGTCTTTTTATGATACAAAACGACCCTGAAAATCCCAGGTCGCTATCTCAATTCTTTCTCGAGTTATCGTGCGGACAGACAGACAGACAAACAGACAGACAGACAGACAAACAGAATGAAACTTTTCCGGTCAGTGGAGTAATGGGCTTCGCTAATCGCTCAGCCAATCATACTGTTTTAGAAAAGTCACGGTATTGAACTAAATTTTGCTGATATCATATATTAGTCGAACACCTTGAAATTAAAATTTGTATTTTTATTTTGGTTGATCTAAGATTAGTTTTTGATTCTTGTTTGCCATGGTGTAGTCAGATTTTAACTTACTGAAATGATTCGCCAAAGTTCTAATCACACTCTCTTAAACCCGCAATCTGACCTAAATATTTTTGGAATGTTTATCTTTTTCCCCGTTTGAGCTCACATGACACAGATTTGGTGTGTCATCAGAATATACTTCCTATAATTGAGTCCAAACCCTCTGAATATTGTTGCACCTATACAGCCGCTGACAAACAATCTAGGAAAAAATTGTTAGAGGAAGTAATGGAAAAGCACAAATTTTAGTATTTTAGAGAGAGTGAACTTTAAAACTACAAGTGCACTCCACAAGATGGGACCAAGTTTTTTAAAATAAGAATGTCAAGGTGAATCAAAAGAAATATTTCATCAAAAAAATACTTTATTTCATACAGCTCTGGACTGTCTCCTCTGAGACTTTACCCAGAGCTTAGTACATTGCTTTAAGTCACCGAAATAATGCATAAACTGGTACATTGCTTTTAGTCACCGAAATAATGCATAAACTGAATTTCTAAACTGTACTAAAGCAAACGCACATCAACACTCGTCCACTCGTCACTGTACGTACAGCTGCGAGCCGACAGCCGACCGCCGTAGCGCAGAGTAATGGGCGCGCGCGCCGACGAGCGGCGAATTTCTCATACCTGGCTGGGCCTACGAGCATTTGTAAATACGCGTACTGCTTGCCCACTCTAACAAGCAGGCCCGCCCTTCCACCAAACGGAGTTGCCAGCTCCACTTCGCTGCGCCGGGAACGCCGTTCGGCAGGGGGCGGGACTGCCTGGCCTGCCGGCGGCGATGGTCGGGCCTTCGGCCCGACCATTTCAGTCTCGCGATTTACTAAAGTGCATCATCAAATAAATAATGTGACCGGTAAATCTTTTTGCATATTTGAGTGTAAATAAAGCGTCCGGCAGGGGGCCTGCGGCCCTAGAAATTTGCTCATTGGACATGACAAAAGACTGTAACACCGTGACTACACTCCACCCTCCTGCTTTGCTTACAAAAAATTAACCCACGCAGTTTCTAGATTGTATATTGTTTGTCAAACAGTCTTAAAACTTGACTTTTTGCCATTGTTTTCAATATATCCACCTCTAGCTCCTAAACGGTAAAAGATACGGTAACTCGGAGTGTCGTACCTGACTCAGAATGAACTGTTTTGGGGGGGTACTACCTCTGACCTTTCACGATTGGACGCCTCCTTGTACGTCTTTATGTGCAACGTGGTCTTTTCCGTCGTATTTTCGTCGAAGAAAGCACTCTAGCGCCCAAACGGTGAAAGATAGAGTCAAACGGACAAAATTTTCGCTCACAGGGCTCTACTTTCACGAGTTACCCCATCGGAGACCATAACAAAATTATTTTTTCCCTACTTTTTGGACCGACCCCTATTTCCTTGTTGCCCCCTTTCACCCCCTTAGGTGTGGTTGCCGGGATTTGCACCAGGCGTTTCGTTGTCCAGGAGTGACCCCTAAGGCTAAAAATACACCACGTCTTGCCTAACAGGCTTGGCGATATTTCTCGAAACACTGTCACGCTGCGACGCGCCTGGCGCACATACAGCTAGGTCTGCGGCGCTGACACCCGAGACGAGTTATTGGGAGGGTATTTGGGAACAGGGCTTTTCGGTCCCAAAATTTGACATACCCACAGCATTTGTCGGGGACTTATTACTCCAAAATTGGCTATTTCAATGGAGCGCTGTTCGTTACTAAGAAGAACAAAAGCGGATGCATAGAGCGGTGGCCGGCGTGGAGGCTTCCTTTTCATTAAAAAGTGCTAATTTTGACAGATTTACATGAAAGAATCAACAAGGTAGTAATAGTAGGTAATCCACTTCGCTCCGCCGGCAACTCCGTTCGGCAGGGGCCGGGCCTCCTTGGCCTGCCAGCGGCGATGATCGGGCCGTAGGCCCGACCATTTCTGTCACGCGATTTGCTGAAGAACATGATCGAATGATGTAGCGGTAGCGGGCCTTCGGCCCGCTTGAACCCGTGGTCTTTGAGTTTGCCCCAAAGACTCGAGAAAGAGATGTAACAGTGAAGCACCGCGACTACAACCCACCCTTCTGCTTAGAAAACGTTTTTTGGGGGTAGGGGGAGAGTTTCCTTTCTATTTTGCGGTTTTTAGGCCTTTTTCTACAACTTATTGTTCACTACGGCAATTTTTAGCTTATTTTCGTCAAAAAAAGACCCTCCCGTTTTGCTCTATCTCTAACCGTTTAGGCGCTAGAGTGAGTTTCTCTCACAAAAGTGGCCCAAAAATGAATTCATTAATTTTCGAAAATATTGGATGGTCTCCTTAGGGGTAACTCGTCAAAGTAGAGCCCTTTTGGCGAAAATTGCTGTAGTGAACAATTAAATGTAAAAGCAGGCCCAGAGCCGCAAAAGAGGTAAGAAACTTCCTCCCCCCACCCCAAAAAATGTTTTTTAAGCAGAAGGGTGGGTTGTAGTCGCGGTGTTTCACCGTTACATCCCTTTCTCGTGTCTACGGGGCAAATTTTAAGGACGACGGGCTTTGCGGGCCGAAGGCCCGTTACATCATTTGATTATGTTCTACAGCAAATCGCGTGACAAAAATGGTCGGGCCGCAGGCCAGGCCAAGCAGGCCCGGCCCCTGCCGAACGGAGTTGCCGGCGCAGCGAAGCGAAGCTGGCAACTTCGTTTGGCGGAAGGGCGGGCCTGCTTGTTTTGTAAATATCTATTCTAGAGACATTTTTATTCAACAAAAGTTGCTTAGAATCGTCCTTTGTTTGCGTACTAATTTTCAAAGTCGAAGTATAGGCACCTCCTCGTTGTGAACCCTGGGTTAGTAAGCATCACGCTTCACAAAAGCTAAGATCTGTACACCTACTTCCCCCTCCTCCTCCTCCCCCTCACCCCTGAAAATTTTCCCACCCCATCCTCAAACTTTCAGTGACACATACTTTCGCAAAAAAAAATCCCCGGTGAACCACCCCTCCTCTACTTAGCTTGGTAGTGTACTATGGGGTACGTTAAGATGCATTTTCGGTCGTTTTTACTCTTTTTCGAATTATAATCACCTCGTTCTGGAACTACCATGACCCACAGGGGCTGGAAACTTCTTTTTGTACCTACTGAAAACATTTGGCACAGGTGTGACGTTTCTGGAATGCTCTGGGTCGATCTCCGGGCAAAGCTTACATTTAAGTGGGAAAATAGCGATTTTTCAAACTTTGAGGCAAAGTTGCGACCTGAAGATCATGTAGGACAAAAATAAGAAAATTATTCTCGGAAATTGCAATGAAAGTGTAGTAATTAAGGAGGTAAGGAGTTTTAAAAATCCTGCAGTTGGGGCAATATTCTTTCAAATAAGACTCTGTCCGCATCTGAAAATTTGTGTAATGTGGATGTAAATGAATAAGCTGGTTTCAGTTTTATCTGGTTACCCGGGTAAAATGTATTTAAACCCTGACCATGCTGCTGAGTAACGTCACCTAACCTTTCAGAAAATCAGTCAGAGTGCTCATAATTCCTACCATACATTAAGTATAAAGTGTGACTGCTCTATGCCCGTAAAATTTGAGTGTGGAATAATATTCCCCATTGTACAATGTTCTCCACTTCTGTTCTCTCTTGTTTATGCTGTAGGTGTCATCAGCAAGGCATTTAATGGCGATGAAGCTGCTTTTCTAGGGAGGCTGAACAGAAGATTCAATGAGATCCTCTCTAGGTTGGCTTTGAGAGTTTCTACGCATGTAGCAGCCGCTAAAGGTATTCAGAGTGGTCCAGGCTCTGCTTCCCAGCAGCAGGAGATTCTCAAAATGGTGAAGGAAAAGTACTTCGATGGAAAAGACACATTTTCACGACAGCAATATATCAACGTAAGGCAGCTGCTGAATGCATATACAGAAAACGATTGAAACGATTTTGCTCCGGTGACAACATTTATTTACTGACTCGCTTATTTCAGGTAATAAGTGATATGGAGTTCGTTGGCCCAGTCCTAAACTTCCTCCGTCTTTGCCGTGGTGACGTGTTTCTTTACGAGACAGATGTGGACTCGAAGTATAATTTTCTATCAAGGAATCTTCTGAATATAACGTATGCTACAAGTAAGTCGCAAATACATTGTAAAGCAAAAAAGATTCTCTTGGTGGTTAGTGTAACCCTTTATTTAAGGAGCCAGTGTTAGTGGCCTTATTTTATCTAATTTTTCTGGGCTACTTCGGAACCCATACAAAAATATTTGTAAATTAATAAATTGTCAGACTTGTGGTTTTCGATCTTTTTAAATGCTAATCTTAGAATTCGAAGTGTCTTTTAATGGTGCCTAGCCACCCTGAAATTCTTAGATCGCTATCTCAATTCCCTCTCGAGTTATCGTGCGAACTGACAAACACAAACGAGCACACCCACAAACAGAATGAAACTTTTTCGGTTACTGGCTTCGCTAATCGCTTTGCCGACTAATTAACATTTGCACCCGTAGGGAACTTTGTGTGCTTATAGTAAGTCCTGGGAGTACTCTCGCGGAGTTCCCCTAAAATCAGCTCATACGGGCGTTCAAAGTCCGCCATTGTGGATTTCTGCACCGTAATGGATTTCTGTACATAGCTCCTAACCTATTTGTGCTATCGAAGTGGGTGAATGCTCATTCTGTTCCCTGACCTGAGCTCTACAAAACTTTGTCGTCGTACTTTCATAATAATTTGTTTTAAATTTCAAAAATCACGAAAGAAGTGCAAAACATTAAATTTTTCAAAGTCCATTGTTTCTTGCACACGGTAAAATAAGTTTCTGTTATTACAAAATACTTTCGTGGATTTCGAGAGCGATCTGATCACTTGAATAGTTTTTCTTGAAAATGTGCCGAAATACTCGCCCTCGTCTTGGAATAGTCAGATTTCATGACACTGATCGTGGAAATCGCGTCCTTATTTCAAGACGTTGTATTGAAGTCGGGGGGTCTACAATAGGGGTGATCGAATTTTGCATGTTTTTGATTCGAGAATTGTAATAACGCGGAAATGTTGCCCTGGTATATCCTAAGACTGACCATATTTTTTATATTTTTTTCGGACAAAATCTTGTGTTCGAACCAGGGGCCACAAGTTTCACATTGGTGTATTATGGGCGTTTTGCTCCTCCAATTTTCACTTTACATCAAAAATGGATCCCAAATCGTGATCTACGACAAAAACTGAGTTGAACGATGTGTAGTATGTCAACATCCCGCTTCACACAGCGGCAAAAAGAGAACGAGAAAACTCGAAAATATCTCAAAAAATCCGTTTCTTTGTAAGTTTTTTTTCGCTTTTAAGAGTGGAATGTTGTCATGAAGAAAGAACTATCTGGGGAGCTGGGAGCGATGGTGTGGACAAGTCTGACCAAGTGTATGAGATTAGTTCTTTCCCTAATCCACCAAAAGTTTCGAATCTGGTAACCGATTTTGGGTTTTGACTCGAAAATAAAGGGTTTTCATGAAGTATGATCCCACTTCAAATCTTAACTCTGAGTCTCAAACGGTTTAGGATATATAAATACCCCAAATTTTCAGGCAAAAACTGCGTATTTTAGTGGGGGTATAGGTAAGACTCCATGCATCTTTGCAATAAGGACAATACTGACTCCACCATTGGAAAGAGAATTGAAAACTTATTCAAAACCAAGCTAAAGATTGGATTTTTGTTTCTCACCCTTCGATCAAATATATCAAAAGATTTTAGCAGAATATCGTACTCTCAAACAAAAATAGATAGTGTTTAATTGTCACCAAACTTGGTTTGCAAAATCCCCTAAGGTCCCTTAACATTCTCTAATTTGGAAGAAAGAAAATATACAAATTTTGAAAAAAAATAAAAAAATAAAGCTTCTTTATGTTGAATACTAAAAAAAAATATTTGTCCAAAATTTGAATATTATCTTTCTTTAAAAATCAGAGAATGTTGAGAGACCTTAAGGGAACTGCAAACCAAATTTGATGACAGTTGAAGACTATCTATTTTGGTTATGAGAGAGTTACGACATTCTGCTAAATTTTTTTGATATATTTAATCGAGGGGTAGGAAAAAAAATCCAACTTTTAGCAGCATGGTTGGTTTTGAATCAGTTTTCAAATCTCTTTCCAATGGTGTAGTCAGTTTTGACTTCACTTCAAGGATTCATACAGTTTTCCGTTTACTCCCTCTCAAATACGTAGTCTTTGCCTCAAAATTTTTGGTATATGTAAACCGTTTGAGCCAAAGAGCCCTAAATTGGAGTGGGGTCATACTTCATGAATACCCTTTATTTTCTAGACAAAAACCAAAATCGGTTCCCAGATACGAAACCTTGGGTCGATTAGGTAACCATGACGTTTTAAGTAACCCCCCCCCCCTTTCCCTTCCTGCCCGCACGGTATCTAACCGTGCTGAAACATGCGCGGAAAGTGGTATTCCCTCCTCTTCCTCATCTTGTTGTCATTCTCCATTTATTATGATTTTAATTATCCATCTATAATCTTTCTAGAATCCTATAATCATTCCATAATCTTATAATCATTCTTATAATCTCATAATCACGCTATAATCCTTATAATCTATACTCAAAAGTGTACGGCTGAGGCGAGTTGCAGACCCCTCGCATATTTCACACTTAGGAGGCCTGGAAAAGTCTGTAAACTTCAGTTGATAGTGTGTAGGACGACCTGAAAAAGTCCCCGGTGGAAAACGCGACGATTTTGAAAAACAATCCTTAGGGTAGAGGTTACCACCCCTGTGACACGCCCCTCAGGGGGGAGTGGTGGCAAAACTGCTTTACAGCAGCTTAGGGGGTAATGAAATGCACCTGTGATCAAAATTAAAAAGCTGTAGGATGTTTGTTTTCGCGCAGCAGCCAAAAATGTGTGAAATTGCTCAAAATCATCACCTCAGTTTACGCCCTTGTAGCGACAAAGCGGGGTGAAATCTAACGGGCGCCACCACGGTCACAGAAGGGCATGACCTTTATCTTTTCGGGTACCGAGAGCCAAGCCACTGGCAAGATTCATTCAGGCCGCCGGGCCTGATAAAAGACGATGACGGTACTGCTTTGCACCGGGCCAGTACCTGCCTGACGAGCACGCACGCGGACTTGTCAAACTGGTTTCTCATCCGAAATTCGTTGACCTTAGTTTAAATTTAATGGATTATTAACGAGTCTAACAATCTTCCCGTCAAAATTTGCATGATAGGCAACGAATTTCGGATGAGACACCAGTTTGACAAGTCCGTGTGCGTGCTCGTCAGCCATACAGGCTCCAGAAATTTTTCACAGGACCTCAAATGTGTTTTTACAGTATCTCGGCTCGAGACCCACTAGATTTGTATTCTTCTTTATGGGTCTTGCAATGTTCATACTGATATTTATTGAGCCCCGAAATGGTCCAAGGTAATCCAAGGATTTGTTTTAAACTGTGCTGTTTTGGGGTAGTATGTATTTACTCTATCGTTTTGTGGAAGAGTAAAACAAAAAAAAAAAAAAAAAACAATTTTCTCTCGGGCTGAGGTTTTCCTTTGAAGGTAAAACGGATATTGTTACAGCGGCACTCAAGGGAATAAAATGGGATGGCAAAGAAAATGGGTGTGCTTCTAAAGTTGGTTGGTAGGTTAGGGTTGGCCGGTGAACCGGTTTCGGTTTTACCCGGTATATTTGCCCACGCCGTTTTACCGATGTTCTGTTTATAAAAACGGGTTTACCGAAATCCGGTATTTAACCAAAAATTCGGTGATTACCGCACCATCAGGTTGATCAGTGTTTTCGGTGAATAGTGTATTTCGACCAACGGAGGAAGAAGAATAGCAGGTAGAACATAAAGGTTCCTGATTGGCCGAGCGCTTACCCCCACTACCGGCGTGACGTAAGGGCGGGAAGCTTTCGACCAATCGGTAACGTTTATGTTCTACCCGCTCTTCTTCTTCCTCCGTTAGTCGAAATACACTATTATTATTGGGATAAAACTATGAAAGGCTCCAAACGCATTGTCGGGTACTCAGAGGGAATAGTTCACTCATGGATCACAAAACACCGTTTCTTGCTAACCCCCGGTTTGTTGTAGCAGATTTGTTACAAAGAAAATACGGGTTCTGTTAATTTTAAACCACGTTAAGAAATCAATCTGTTTCAGCCACGTGCCACGCGGATGATCTGGGGTACGTCTTTCATCCTGGTGTTGTCGACATACATCAGGACTACAAAGGAAGTGGATTAGGACCATCTGTTCTGCGATACACCACGACTTTGTTCACCAACTTCATCAAGGGGCAGTACGTTTACAATAGGGTGTTCCGGACAAGCGAAGCGCCGAAAACGAGAGGCAAGGATAGCGCTGGTTGAATCTCAGCCTCGCGGCTTCTAAATCCGGTCGTCTGCTGTCGACTGCATGGTGGCGTTAGGTTACATGGGGGATTTAGATCTCAATCTCGACTTCTAGAATGAAAATATTATTTAAAATAGATTTGCTGGCATAATTACACGTAATCGTAATAATCTAAAGCAAGATGTCGTAGCTAACAAGCGCGACAGAGCAATGGACAGCAGACGCACGGATACAGAAGTCATGAGGCTGAGAGCGGACCAAAGTCAACTTCGCCTCCCATTTCCGGCGCCAAGCTTACCTTGAATACCCTATAAAGATGCGATCCAGCGCTGTGCGAACATGGCTTACTCCCAACTGGAATGAACGGACCAATGAAGATTTGTTCGTTCGAATACGATCATAAAGTGATCGAGCACGGACTGTTTGGAAAATAACTAGCTATAGGTACACCAGACCCGAGGGGGAAATCATTACTTGCGAAATAGTCCGTACACCTTTCCCCGAAATGTGACATAGTCGGTGAAATAGTCGTGAAATACCCCTGAAATACTCCCAAATACCGCGAATTACCCTGAAATAATCCGAAATAGGCGAGAAATAACCGAAATAGCTGGAGAAATGCCCGCTACGGCAAGAGAAATAGTACGAAATACCTCGTACGCTACGAACCCAACTGATTTTCCCCTCGACCAGACCACGTCTCACGTAGCAGGCTGCGCCCGTTAAATAAAGTGCGCAACTGGAAAACGGGTGATTATCGTATCGCTGAGCGGAAGTTGAAGAACAAAAACGGAAGGTGGAAAGGCACCCGGGCCGTCCCCCTCTCCTCCATTGTGCGGAGTGGGGGAGCGCCCGGGGAGGAGTGCGGGCCCCTTTCTATCTTCCGTTTCTGTTCTTCTACTTCCGCTTAGCGCTCTAGACCAATAGGGTGTTCCAGGCTATCTAGAACGGAAGTGAAAAAGAACACACTCACTGATTAATTTGTTTCGGTCTGCTCAGTATGAGAAATTGCCATGGTAGTTTGGTCCGATTCTTACCTCTCAAATATGGTGGCGAGCTCGAAACTGACCTGCCAGTTTTTCATACCTGGAACGCGGTCGTGACACGTGATGAGCTCAACCAATCAGAGCCATCACGGAAACGGAAGAGTCAGTGAATTTGTTCTTTTCCTACTTCCGTTTTGGATAGCCTGGAATACCCTATACCCTATAGGGATGGAAGGATCTGCACTCGATACTGCACTTGTAAACTGTAGTTTAAAGTTCAGTTTTCCTGCAGTTAACTGTAGTTAAACTATAGAAAAACTCTACGGATTTCGCAAGGGTTCTGCAAACTGGTTTAAAACTGTAGTTTAACTGCAGTTTAACTTTAGTTTGACACAGTACGAGTATAAACTGTAGTTAGTTCTACAGTTTTGCATTAGATCCTTCCACCCGGGATACATACATATGTTCAACCTGTTTGTTGGCATGTGGACTGTCAATGGACTACTTTTGGCGTCGGTCTTGTCAAATCGGCCCCGAAACTGTCTGGCACGATTAGGAGCGCAAAACTACGTTTTGGAAATGTAGTGCAGAAGAACTTTTAAACCAAGCAACATTTCGGGAAAAAACGACGTATTGTTCTAGGCCTACCCTTTCTCTGCCACGTATTAAAGTCTGAAGTCTAGATCTTGAAGGGTACGGCTGAATTTAGGAAAACGATGCACCTCTGCACGGCCGCTTGCCGACGCTCGGGTCTCCTTCAGGACCGCTATCAGCGGTAACTGGGGCACGGGCCCCCAAGGACACCCCCCCCCCCCCCTCTACTCGATCCACGCCAGTT